CACCGCGAAGCCCTCCGCGCGCGCCCCGGTCGCCGGCGTCGCAGTTCTTACGCACCTCCTCCATCAAAGTTCGCATTGACAGTCGAATCTCCTCGACCCCCTCAGACAAGTCCGTAAATCGCTCGTCCATACCTTGAACCCGATCATCCATTCTCTGAAATCGATCTTCAATGATGTTGTCGAGCACGACGTTTTTCTTTGGCGGCATCGTGGATCGTCGTTGGTCTCTGAATAAGAACGTGAATAGAACGTGAATAAGAACGGGATAAAGAATGAGATACTCTCTCGTGAATTCACTAGAATCTGATAAATTCCAATCAAAGCCCCTGCTTCTGTTACAATCCCTAACATAAATAAAGAGGAGTCCTACACCTACAAAATACTTGTAGGATATTTATTTATTTACTTGCTCCTAATAGATATATAAGTATGAAATAAATAAAAAGAAAAGCAAATAATAATCAAATCAAATGCAGAGCCGATCATATTTGTCCAGAAACTCCAACGCGAGCTCGTCTCCATCACTCGTAAGGTTGACTTTTTATTTACACAGAATACTCGATATAGGTTAATTATCAATATAAAAACACCAAGATCAAAATTGTCTATTTAGAAACCTAAATAATACATTTATATTCAAATTGTTGAAATTTCGAGCCGAACTCAAGCCATGTCGAGCATTGAGACGAGTTTGAGCATTCTTATTAGTAGTGAACAAGCTAAGATATCCGTACATTTTCTTTATTTAATAATTTTATCCCCTTTTCCGCAAAAATCAATATCTGGCAACAAGTGAGAATTTTTTTTTACAAAACTCACAAGTCACACGTTGATTTTACAGTACCCTTCGGCCTTCGTCTTCATCTTGATCGATCCCATTAATCAATCAAACCAGATAATTAGAGTAGAGAAGGAGCGAAGCTCAGAATGTTTCTTCTCTCCCTTCTTATCTTTTCATTTTTATTATCTTTGTTTGTCCACCATGAAATCGCACCCAAAAAAATCCCAGTCATTTTTATATTTCAATTTCAATTAAAGGTTATATATATCTTTCAGTTTTTTTTTTTTTTTTATTATTATTATTGAAATTAATGTGTTATTTCATTTACCATGTGTGGTGATTTTGGAGAAGAAAGATGGACAATAGTGCGGGCCGGGTCGGGATCTGCAGTCCCAAAGCCAAAGAGCTCAGTTATATTATCCCAGTGGTAAGAAACAACAATCCATTTTTTGTATTTTAAAAATTGCTTAATTTTTATGGTGCTGGATCTTTCACTTTGCTTATGATGATCTTGAATAAGACTGCTGTAGATATTTGAGTTTCTTTTAATACATATGGTGAAGTGATGGGGTTATTACGTCTTATCTTGTGTAGCTATATGTATAATGTCTAAGGATTCATTTGCATGAGACTTGGTGGAAGTTGAGGCATATGTAGCGATCTAATTTAATTACCAATATTTGTCGATCGATCGATCGGCTTAGAGAACAATTGAGAAATGGCGTTGAGAACCTTCTACAATGAGATCAAGGGGATGAAGGTGAAGGAGCGAGCCGCCAAGTTCACCGTTGATTACGTCAACAACTACTCCGTCAACAATTATCACGCATCGACACCAGCTCCGTCGTTCCTCTCTACCACATCTGTTTTCGGGGGGATGTTCTTCTCGTGCCTCGTCGCCCTCCCCGAGGAGCGCCGCCACCTGGAGCACCAGCAGCACGCCAAAGAACATGGCGGCCATTGATCTGCTGCTTTTGTATCAGCTCTCCGCTAGCAGATGCAGTGGTGCTAGACTTTGAGGGGAAGCATTAGATAGATGCCTTAAGTTTTTTTGTTGCAATATTTTTCTATTTTTACATGTTAGTACCCTGTTGGATACTCAAATATTAAGCTAAGAAGTGAAAATAAAAGAGGTGGAATTATTAGTAGAAACAATATCAGAAACAACAACATTCACATGGAATGCAAAAGCTAATTTCTGAATACGATGCGAAAACGATTATCTCATACGGAACATCTGAAAAATGGTGTACTAAACCATGTACACAGCACAACATGGTAAAAATCCCCGCATAAAAGTAGCATTTTCAAATAACTCCAGTACCTAGATACGAAATATCCCCGAAAAATAGTACCAAAAAACCATGTTCACAGCATGGTATAAGCCCCCGACAATATGTACTTATGGTATAAACCATGTTCTGAATATTTCATACGACACGAAAACCATGTTCATATCATGGTAAAAATCACCGCATATAAGTAGCATTTTCAAATCAGTCAAGTATAGTAGCATTTTCAAATCGCATTTCAAAGATCACTCGATGAAAAAGGTATTCGGCTGATCAGACATGAAAAAGCTGATCTCATGCCCAACCTCCCAATGGTTTAGCTCACGACAATGGCTCCATAGGTGGTGCTTGAGGAAGACCCGCCCCGTAGTCCTCCTTGATGCCACGACTAGGAAGGTAAAGTTATCCTCAGCCCGGAATTGTGTGAGAAAGGTCAGGATCTGATTTTCACCATGCTGAAACACAATCTCCCGCGCAACAGCAGCCGGGACCTCAAGATTGAGAATGTCGGAATTTGTGATGCGTTTGTCCAAAAGGTGAGCAGCCCTATGGGGTTCTGGTGCAGGTGCAGCTGCCATCTGGATTGGAGGAAATGAAATAGACAAAGTGAATGGAGACATTACAGTGAAATCAATGCAGTCAAGTATTTTGGCACAACCGTAATTTTAAGTAATGACAATCACAAACTTTGTTCAGCTTATACTTCAGATATATATTTAGCCCTTATTCACTGTTCAAATATTTTCTAAATTGATATATATTCGACTTAATCCCCCGGCAACCAACCAAGATCTTATAAATCGCGATAATTAGACATCATCGATAGCAAACCTGAATAGATATATCCACACTATAAACCATATACTACATTCATATCCAAAAGCAAAGTGCACGATTGCAGATTTCAAAATCGGCTCCGATATATCCGTAAAACAAAAACTGATGACAGACCTTCAGAAGTTCCAACTAAATCTAATATAAAGAGAGCAAAAGAGCTTGAGTACCAGTGGGGGGAATGCATTACAGCTCCAAATGATCAAATCTAAATATTTTTCTATAATTTAACCTAATTTCATTAGAACAGAGAAAATGTATACCACATCTATAATTTAACCTAATTCACGATTCATCCACTCACATAATTTAAAAAAAAAAATAGAAAAATTCAAATTAGATGAACTAGTTGTTACATCTAAAGAATGATATTAGATGAAAATTTTAATTTCTCACAATGGCATAATTAAACCTGATTTAGATTATTTTTTTTTTTTCACTCGGGGGAAATGCAGTACAGCTCCAAATGATCAAATTTCAATTTTTTTAACCTAATTTCATCAGAACAGAGTACCATTCAAGAAACCCACAAAGAACATCAACAGAGTAAATAATCAATCACAACAAATTGAATTCAAGAACAATTTTCACCAAATCAACCATCCGCAAACTGATCAAAGCAAACTTAAACATCCAATGCTTCAACTCAAAAACATCACATTACAAGCTCACACACACAGCTCACAAAGAAACACACACACGCACGCACACACACACGCACGCACGCACGCACACACACACAAAAAAAAAGAAAAAGAAAAAAACACATTTACCTTTCTTGATGATCCTCTGTTCGTCCAAACAAAACTGAAAAAAAAAAATAAGAATAAAAAAGAAGAAGAAGAAGAAGAAATTTAAAGCGTTACACAGAAAATTGGAAGAAAAATGGAAGAATCTGCAGAAATAACATGAATTCACAGAAAACACACACGCACGCACACACACACACACGCACAAAAAAATAAAAGAAAAAAAGAAAAAAACACATTTACCTTTCTTGATGATCCTCTGTTCGTCCAAACAAAACTGAAAAAAAAAATAAAAATAAAAAAGAAGAAGAAGAAGAAGAAGAAGAAGAAATTTAGAGCGTTACACAGAAAATTGGAAGAATCTGCAGAAATAACTAAAACTAAAACTGTGAAAAAAAAAGGCAGAGAAAAAAGTGAGCGGGTAGAGAGAGAGAGAGAGAGGGGTAGAGAGAGAAAGAGAGGGGCAGAGAGAGAGAAACCTGTAACAAACTCGCGTTTCTGTTTCTGGCGCGGGATTTCCAAACGAAAAATCTCATTTAAATAATAAATAAATAGTTGAATTTTTTTTAAAAAAAAAATAAAAAATTGTAGCCTCAAAGGTTTCGAACCCGGGGGGCTGGACGCAGGCTGGGCTTTTATGTTCGTGTTGTTCCCAACCGGCTGCCAATATTTCATGTTAAAGTATTGTTTAACAGTTTATATTATTTTCAGAACTTTTTAAACAATTTTGCAACATTAAAGTTTATGAGTTAATTATTTATTAGTTATTGTGCAATTATATGAAATTAATATTAACTGCACATTCATAAATAAATATTTCACATATATAAAACATGTTGTTATCATTCGACCCGGTAATCCAAGATTATTCGTCTAAAACCGCGTATTAGAAGAATCATCGTCGACACCGGCTCAAGCCATGGTCACCTCGGTTCACACAACGACCGAACTCCAACCCGACATAAGGAAAACCGAACTACCATATAAGACCAAGAACATTGTGAACCGAGGTCGTCGTGCCCAAAGCAGGTGACAAGGCACATACGCAGCACATTTCGAAACCACAAGAAATCTCATCATTCAAGTGGAGCCCACTCACATGGCCGCCCAACAAAAAGCCACTTTACGAAAAAAGTGCCCGTAAATCTCGAGATACGAGCCCAAAAATATACTATAAATAGAGAATCTGTACTCTTGTAAGGGGACCGCTCCCTGAACATTGACCATATATGCAAAAAAGCGCCCACCACCTTCCACTTTTGTGTTAATGCTGGCTTTACATTCGTATCATCACTAAACATTCTAATAATCTCATCCATAATCGTTGTTAATAATCACATAACAACAGTTTGGCGCTAGAAGGAGGGCCTCATACGATTTTTGAGGTCAACCTTCAATCCTTTATTTTTCAGCTACATCATCACAGTAAATATGTCTCACTCAGATCATCGGAGTCATGCATCGCGAGATGGCCACAGTCGCAGCGCTGCTCAGTCAACCAGGCGCCAAGCGACAATATCCAGCGTGCCTGATTATACGACTCTGTTTCAAAACCCAGAATTTGCGCGTGGGTTCGCTGCTCTAATGGCTCAAACCGTTCCTGGGATGTCAACGACGGCTCCAGGACAGTCTGCCATTCCTACAACCCCTATGAAACCACAAGTTCCACATGTACGACGAGATAGGGGTGGGGCCACCTCTCATGCCACAGCTCAACCCCGAAGTCAGACGTCACTGCCGCACCGAGAGCGAGCGACTCATCACGCTGAGGCCACTCACCCTCCCCTGGTGGTCCCTCGCGAGGAAACCACCGAAAGCTAATCTGGGCAACCTCGACGATCTCCACTTCCTGCACAACCTCGAGCCCATTCCAATCCGACACTGGCGGATCTCCGCCAGCATATAGAACGAAACCGCTCGGCTCGACATGAATCTTCTGAATTAGAAGCTTTACGGCGAAGAATTGCCGAACTGGAGAGTCGGCAAAGAGTGCAAGAAGATCTTCCTCGCTGAGCCTCCACCTCGGCACAAGTGTATTTGAAAGCCGAATCTCCTCTTACGCCCGAGCTCACCTCGGATCCCGTACCTAGAAAAGTCAAGGTCCCTCAAATCGAATTATACAATGGGACGTCGGATCTCGACTCCCACCTCGGTCATTATACTTCGTGGATGGATCTACACGGAGCCTCGGACGCACTTCGTTGTTGAATGTTCTCCCTCACTTTGGGGCCCGGAGCTCAATGGTACCACTCTTTACCCCCTTATTCCATTTGGAAGTGGCAGCAGTTGAGGTCGGCTTTCCGATCTCATTTCATCGGGGCCCAAGTTTGTTTAGTTCCGAAGGAATCTCTTGCTAATATTACTCAGAAAGATGATGAAAGCGTTAAGGATTACATAGCTCGATTCAATGACCAAGTTCAGAACATGGAACCTTGCCACCCGGAGATCTTACTTGTTATGGCAATCGCCGGGTTGAAACCGAACTCTATTTTCCGTTGGACATTATGCCAGAATAAGCCCAACACTTTCCAAGAGTTCCTTGCTCGAGCCCAGCAACACATTATAGCCGAAGAGGCTATGTCAGTCCCTGATTTTAATTTCAATCTGAAACCCGCTAAACCAGGAACCGACGACAAGAAGAAAAATAAGTCCTTCACCGAGAAACAGAATAAGTCTCAGTTCCGAGAGTATCCACGAGGAGATGCTAATGATCCCGAAGTCAGAGCGGCCTGGAAACAATACGCGAGTGACGTGAAATCAGGATACCATACCGTATATTCGGCGGGGGCCGCAACAATCTACGAAGAAATCAAAGGGAAATGCATCTTGCTTGAACCAAAACCACTTCGGATGCCCGAGGACAAATTGGATAAGTCACGATACTGCGATTATCATAAATCACTGGGACATAATATCGATGAATGCCTAAGTTTGCCAGCCGCTTTATTACGTTTGATCGGTCACTCACAGCTCAGAAAGTTCTATCGAAACGCTGATGTCCAGAAACTGGGGCCGGGACGCCAAATCAAGCCCTACGATGATGATGAGGACGACGACCGAGGTGCCATGCCGAAATGAATCCGACAAGGAGAAAAAGAAGTATTTACGTTCACCTCGGATGTATTTAATACTGATTCAACTGGGAACTCACGAAGACTCAAGCGGAGCCGATCTCCCAGTCCGGTACAAAACACTGTTCACCAAGTAAACACCAATAATTCCAGAATTGTGTCATCTCGCAGTCAAATCAAAGCCTACGCCCGACAGGCCTACAATTCGGGTAAGCAAATTTTCACCACCGATCTGCGAGATGTCATTAATGCCCGAAATTGTCCCATTACTTTCAACATGGAGGATGTGAATCACTTCGCACATCCTCATTCCGACGCTCTTGTCATTACTGTTCTGATATGCGGGATTTCGGTTCACCGCGTTATGGTTGATATCGGGGCCTGCTCAAGTATCTTGATGTTGAAAGCTTTCGATAAAATGGGCCTTGATCCCGTGGACATTCGACCTTGCAACAATTAGATACAAGGGTTTTTGTATGTATTTATTAATTAGACATATAATTCAATCATATAAAAATTATTACTTTTTCTTAAGTTATTTTTTATCATTCAAAATTAATGGAGATTTAAATTCTATTTTAACCATGCAACGTTTATATTATTAATATGAATAAAATACGTTATTAAATGAAAATATATTTTATAAAATGTTTTATTAAAGGCATCAGCTAGTAATTATATATTATAGAGATTTTTTTTTTTTTTTGGGTACATCTCATGTTCCTTTTGTTTGTCTAAAATTTAAAACAAGTTTATTAAAACAAGAAGTCGCAAACGTGGTCTCTCTTGTGTAAATTTATTTGTTGAAATTTTAGATGTTTGTATTTGTATGTTTTCATGCGAGTATTTAGTTAGCCCATAGTTATACCCATTTGTATAATATGTTTTTTTTCCCCAAAAGAAAGACTACTATTTGACAGGAGTTTTTTTGCATATTTGATTACTACACAAAAGCGACCACTTACAAAATTAATATTACTGTCCAAAGACTTGATACTAATGTGTTGGGTGCCATGAGATGTTACTAAACTTATTTAAATCTGTATGATTGATGTGAATATGTTGGTTATTTTTTTTATTATTCTCTGTTGAGTTATGACATTTGTCACTTCTATCTCTGCTAATACCAACAACATTCCTAAGCTCAAGGGCTTTAAATTTTTATTTTTTTTTAACCCGCTAAAGATCTATATTTGAGATGAGAAATGCAATATTTTTTTAGGATGTGTTGAGTTTTGGGGGAGAAATAAGGTTAGAGACATTACCTTTGAGGAGGAATCGTTTTCGATGGCTACTACGTACTGCTTCTGACAATGTGCATGTCTATATTGCTGTAATTAGTCGAGAAATAGATTTAGAACCTCAATAGGATAGTATTGAAAATCTTCCAACTTAAATTGGTTCGGTTATTCAAAATGAACAAACTCAACAACGTCAAGAACTTATGCATGCCATCAATGATATCCACTTGAGATCGAAGGAATGCCATTTTGGATACATACATTGATGAATAGAATACATATGTTCCAACAATTTTATTGATATATCTTTGAATCAATAAACTCACAATAAATTTTACTTTTATAATTGAGATTAATAATAAATAATAGATTCGTTTTCATAGAGGCGATCAGAAAAAATTATTATTTGTAGTTTCTTTCAGACCTTTCATAGTTTCATTAATGTTGCACAGATTTGGATCTTTTACATTAATATCCACTAATTTTATGTTAAAATGATGAAATAAAAACCCAAAACAGTTTGTAATACAAGTACACCATATTCTTATACAATCATATCTATTTATCTCTTCATGATTGTTATGGACCTGTCGGAGTGGGTTGTTTGGACAGGGTAGCAAAGGACCCGGTCAAACCCGACCAAAACTTGGTCAACTCGGTATTGACTCTCCGATTTGACTCAGTCATTAAAAATACTTTTTTTATTTATTTATTTTAAATAAGATTATGTGTGTGTATATCTATGTGTGATAAGTATTTATGATAAAAAAAACAATATTATTTAGACTTAGTGTATAAATTTACATATAAATATTTTTTTTTTAATTATTTTATATATTGTTATAAGGTACAAAGTATATTAATATAATTTAAATGTTAAAATATTAATTATTCTGTTTAGACATTGCCTCGACAACCCAACGGTTGGATCGGTAACCCAGAGTACGTCGCAGGTCAATTATTGGTCCGAGTTTTAAAATATGCCCTCTTCTCAAAATTATATTGAGTTTTTTTGCCATCTAAATTAGATGTTTTGACCTAGAAAAACTAATCAAATGATTTATTTGTCAAATATGTTAGTTAGTGAATTTGACGGGTCAAACCTCTAAATTATGTTGAATATGCTAATTTTACATCGGTCATATTCAAACAAGACCTTAATTCATAAGTTTCTACAATTCATAAGCTCGTTTGGCTAACAAGCTCGGCACGGCTCGGCTCGTTATTAAGGCTCCAAAATAAAATTTTTATATAATTTTTTATAGTTCAGCTCGTTAAAGCTCGCGATTGGCTCATTAAGGCTCGAGATTGAGGCCTTAACGAGCCGAACTCGAGCACTATTTTAGGCTCGTTTACTTAACGAGAGCTCAAGCTCGAACTCGAGCTCTGCTCGGCTCGTTTACAGCTCTACTCGCGAGCACGCAAGATCCACCGGCCTAATGGCTGGAAAGTACTATATTGAGGCTTTGGTAAAACGAGAACTATAATCAATATATTAAATTTCAGATTCCTTATTTCAAAGAGAATCTCATAACTCTGCATTTTTTTTTTCCAACGATAACAATAATATTGCCAAACTCAAATAACATTTACAAACCAGACAATCAAGCCATTAGCTATTTACTAGCCTGAGGCCAACCGGAACTAAAACCATTTCAGCCCGTACATAACCGAACAAACAAAAACTATGCTAAAAGGATACCTAAGCATCTCCCGGGTTGAAAACAAAAGTACAATCAATAACAGAAGAAATAAGTAGATGAATATCCTCTACGACGACCTTCAACCTAGCTGTACTCTCTGAGCTCTTCTTAAGAATCTCGAGTGCTTTAACATTTGGTAAGCAGCACACAACCTTTGTCACCTGTCTGTTACACATCTTCTGAAGAGTTCCTCAGAACTCTGCATTTACCCACGAAGCATTAAAACATACGACAATAATTTCTCTCGTCCACAGAGGTTACTTGATCCCCAACTGATGTTTTACGTTTCCGCCTTCCTCTTCAGACCCTCGAATTCATTCGATTCAATATCATACCAAAAAATAAAAATAAAAATAAAAATAAAAAATCATCAGATTAAAGAGCCACAAACAAATCCATCACAAGGTCAAGGTGCAATATATGAACCAATGGGAGCAAAGCCATTATATGAACAAAAGCTAATCCTTCAGGTGGAGAGGTAATAGCTAAAGATTGAACATATGCCAAATTGAACATAAACATGTACCGAAAACAAATCGATAGTGTCTACCTCCTTCCTTCCGTATGTATCCGAAACAATGCGCCCCTCAATCCTCAGGCGCCAATCGAGTCAACGTTCAAACTCAAATCCGTGTTTTTTTTTTTTTTTTCAATCATCTTTGAGCTTAGAGAGGTCTAATCCAAGGTAGCCAAGAATCCAACAAGCACAAACTAAACCACACTAAAGCGAACGGAAGACTAAACAAATGGAGAATAACGCCAAATAAACACACCGAAACAACATAACCACACTAACAACTCTGTCCGTTTTCACTTGCCAGGTGAATTTTCTGTAACATAATCATCAAAAAAGTATGCTTAACCTGTTAATATTGAGAGGAAAAACAAAATAAAAATCAATAACCTCTCCATGAAACCCTCACAATACACTTGGTAGTTTCAGTCACAGACATCGAACTCAAATCTTAACACTTGAATTATCAAACCAAAAAAGTATAAAATCCTTATATATATTTCTAAAAGAAAAAAGGCTCGACCAATAAAGCAAGCAAGCAAGCACATTCGTGTTCCACTCACCGCCTAATCCTCATTCCCTTGCTCAGGTTGTTCAAGCTGAACCTGCTGGCCATTACCTCATACTGCACAATAAATTTTATAGTATACAAATAGCAATGAAACCGTACTCCAACTTTTATAAATTAGTCATATCCCAATTTTGTAAACTTCAACAAAATATATGATAAACACACGGAGACAAAAAAATGATATAATTCTATATTATAAACGTCCTGAAACTTGAAACGAGTGGAGTCGAACACCAAGCTCCAACTAAACACATGGAACTGGCGTAGGCCACGGTGGATGTGTCAGAACAAAGGCCGCGAGACCCTCGTCGCCTATAGATTCTCGAATCTCCCCAAGCTTGCGACATTTGTCCTTTGAAACCGCACACTCGTAAACACTCTTTCCACACACGATGAAAATCGAGTCACAATCTTTCGGATGAAAAGCGGCACCAACCAATGCATCCCTGTCGTAGTCATCCTCCGAAAAACTCAACTCCCTTTGACCGACCAATGCCCACGAATAATCCCGACGGTCCAACTCCCAAACCCCCACGACGAAGCATCTCCGGCCCGGCCCGGCCTTCAAAACGTGCAACAACCTCAACTCGTCCCTCACAACTCCAAGGTGGGTCCTCGAGTTGGGCACCTCACTTGTGCTATTACGCACAATGTCCGGGAAGTAAATAACAGAACAATGTTTGTTGCCCAAATCTAAAAAAACAACCCGGTCACGTTTATATAAACCGTCCATCCAGTACAGAGTCCCATTGCACACAACAATATTCAAGTCAACGCTATAGTCATTTCTTGCACGCCTAGGCACCAAGAAGGAAGATTTGGTCCATTGTTGTGACTCTGAGCAAAACATAAGAACTGGTTGTATGTAGTGGCCGACAGGAACTTCATCCGTTTCATCATCAAGAGTAAGAAAGTCAAGTATTATCACCTTGTATGGACCGTTAGAATCGGGCGTGCATATTAATGCAAACCCAGTTATAAATCCATAAGGAGCATCCCTAGGAACGAGAAACCACTTTTTCGTCACCGGATTACAAATGTAATACCTCCGTGGATTGTTTCTTCCCACTCGCAGACGGGAATCAGGGGACACAAGCAACAAGTCATTGCATGATGCCCTAATGATCATGAGCATCGGCCCCATAAAATCGAGGTAGTTAGACGATGATGATAATGCATGCTTGCCATGGAGAAGCAAAGACTCCTTGGAGTAAAGAGTTGCAACCAATTGATAATACTTTGGGCAATCCCCATAAAGATGATTCATGCGGAAAAGAATGGTATATGATTGATCTAGATCTCGATGGAGACGGATGAACCTGGGGATGAATTGGGGTTGAGAGATCAATGCATGCCAATGCCGACAAACAGAGCTAAACTGAATAGCATATCGACAGTTGGAGAGTCTAAGGAAGATCTCCAACAATATGTCTTCATTGATACTCGACAAAAATCCTAATGCTCCATCACGGGAAACTTCAATTTTCGTCCTCGCCCTTTTGTTGCCTCTGTTGTCCTGATAAATGTACAGATACATATATACACACCCACTCATGAATCATGATTAAAATACAAACACAATTGAAAAAAATTGAATCTTTGGGTTAATTTGCAGTTTCGTATCAGCTGGTTTTGGGGGGGTTTTTGCTGCTATAAACACAGAGAGAATCAAACCTTACCTGTATCGTAGGATTGGGATCCAATTGAGGGGAGGACACCACAATAGCGGCACTGAGAGGTAATCTATGAGATCCTGGAAAACATCCAGACATTCCGTACACAGGATGATGCGATTCTATTACAAATCATCAATACATAAGTGAATCGAACATATACAGAAATATATATACATATGTAATTGAGAGGAAGAGTTGGATCGCAGTACCTGCGTTCGACATTAATACTCCAATCGGCTTCTTTCTTCCTCGACAGACAGACAGACAGACACAGCGTTTTATTTCGAGTTTTTTCTTTTTCGAGTTTGGAGATAAAACTTCTCTACGCAAATTAAAAACACTACTGCTATAATTATTATATTAATATATATAATAGTGGGGGTTTTAATTAAGTAACCTAGTCAAACTAGGAAATTGTTTAAATACCCCTTTATATTGTAAAATTGTGATAAAAGACCTTCATCACCTATCCCATCCATCCATAGGTCAACGTCGGAAGTCAACGGTCAACGCCGGAGTCAACGGTCAACGCGGGAGTCAATGGTCAATTGTCAAAATAATATTTAAATAATTAAAATAATAAAAATAAAGAATTTAAGTAATAAAAATAAAGAATTATTTAAATGAGAAGTTAAATCTTGGTCACACATCATGTATCAATTTAGTGGCTAGAAATGAGTCTTTCATGCACACTTTAAATATGTGGACTAGGATCCAATCCATTCATCTATACTTATATTAAAAGTTATACTATTTACTAAATGTAGTATGTAGAGTAGTCAACCCTAATTAATGATGTGCTATTTTTATCAAGCATTTTATTAATGCATCTAATATTTTTGGTATGCAAATCAAATCAACATTTAATTAGTTCCTAAAATATTGGGTATGCAATATTAATTTAGGAATATCCATGTAGTTCCTAAAATGTTGTATGCAATACGTAAAAGAAGATTTTTTTTTTATTTTTTTAAATATAAAAGATTGCAACACATAAAACTATTCCATGTATTTTTTATTTTATTACATATAAAATCTAATCAATATTTAATGCATCTTACAAAATTGGATTTAGTTTAATTCTCGCTACAATTTGTTGTAACTTTTCAGTTGTACTTTTTTTATTTATTTATTTTACACTTTTAAATTAATGAAGCTCTCCAAAAATACCAAATCAAATAATTTATGAAAGTTTTTTCTTTTACAATTTTAAATCTATATACCCAGCTTAAAAAACTCATCGGGACGAGTTTTAAGAAAATTTTATAACCCAACTTATAAAATTCTATCTCCACGAGTTAAAAAAATCACATCCCTCATCTATTGTAACAACTTTAAAGGTAAATAAATAAAAGTCTAATTAGTACTATAAATCCATTATCTATATAGATTTTTTAAAAATCTAAATTTCACCTGTCTAATTACTAATATTTTAGATAGTTTTAAATATTATTTGTATAATTTTTTTTTACACATTTGCTCTCTCTATATATATACATATATGGAGGTTAAATGAAGAATTTTTAGACATATTTTCCTTACGGGTAGTTTAGAAAAATTTAGGTAGCTTGAAACATTATTTGTGAATAATATAGAATATTTTAGATGCTTTTATAGATGATATAAAATATTTTAAGTATTTTTAATATTTATATATCATACTTAAAAAGAATATTTTGCCAAAAAAAACATTAAATACACATTGTAAATGTTAATAGAAACAGTCTTCAGTGTTCCTCTTTGATTTTTTCAAAACAAATCTCATAAAATCGGTGAAGTCAAAATTTGTACGTAAAGTCTATCTATACTAAAAAAAAGGTAGATTCAAAATTTCTTTATCTAATTTTTTCTTTTCCTTATCTAATTCATTCTTATTATCTAATTGTATAGAAATCTGTTCTGATTTTGTTCAATCCTCGAATTGTATTTGTATTATATCCCATAAAATCGGTTTAACAAAAAAAATCGCATAACATCCGATAAGTAAAAAAAATATGTAAAATCTTTACTAAAATAAAAAATGTTTTATTTATTATCTAATTTATTATCTAATTGTATGGAAATCTATTCTGATTTTATAGTACGTACTACAAATTGTGCACCCGTGTTCAGGAGCTATTTAACGTGCAAGCTTTGTGGAAATAACTAATTTAGTGCTTTTGTCCCGTGCATACGGTATGTATTTGTATTACACATACTAGAAAATTGTGCACCTCGTGCATCGCACGAACTCTGTACTAATAAATGACCTTAAAATTGTGCACCCCGTGCATCACCCATTTTCACATTTTGGCCTATTACAGGTCACGTACTATATATATCCCGTACATTTTTCTTTATTTATTTATATAATTATAAGACTTAATAAATTGCCTTAATTTTGTGCACTTCATACACCGCACGGCATCTGTATTAGGGTATGTTTGGTAAGCCAAATAAGCTAGCTTTTAGCTTATTTGGTTAGCTTATAAGCTCCCTGTTTAAAATAAGTCTCGTTTGGTAGGACAAGCTTTTTTAAAAAGCTCGAGCTTATTTCATAAGCTACTTTAGGTAGCTTTTCAAATAAGCTAGTTGAATTTTTTTTTTTTTTATTTCAGCTAGCTTATCAGCTAATTTACCAAACACCTTTTATCATATAAGCTAGCTTTTCAGCTATAAGTCATAAGCTATAAGCTCAAAAATTACATATAGGCCCCGTTTGGAAGATAGCGGATTGAAGATAAATTAGCGGATTTGACTTAATTGAGAGGTTTGACCCGTCAAATCCGCTATTGAGCTTGTTTGGTAAATAGCTTATTTGA